TATTACAAAATGGATTTGTAAATACATTTGTTTCAACATCTTTCTCTATATGTTTTGCCGTACACATTATCAGATGATATATTATATTTTCATAACTTATCGTTGCGATCGTTTTTCTAAGTTTATCGACGAGTAAGTACATTCAACTTTATAGATATGTCAGCACTTCAAGCCAGTATTTGCCAAGATTTTAATTTTATTGCAAAACAATATTAAAAGTTCATGTACTATTATGACATATGATACAAGCAAAGACAGATCGAAATTTTCAAATCTCGTAAGTGCTAAAAGTTTGATGACTTAAAATGTTATTTATGACTTTTTCCACACTCCAGAAGTGACTTCCTTGATACACTCTTTGATCTTTTATTACTCTACATCAGTAGCCAAAAATGAGAAAATGTGTTGTAATGTATTCCATGAATGAACCTCCCGCTGCATTTCATTCATCACTTTACAATTTATACCTTCGTTCGTTAGTCGTTGACCTCATTTCTTTAAGTGTATACAACAACTTTATTTATAGATACACTTACAATAATTGTAGCACTTTTATAAAGTACTCGTTTATATTGAACTAGGTACAGACCTTGCTTAGCTGTTGCAATGTTTTGCCAGATTTGGCGCCAAGGAAGAATATGTAAATATAGAGGGGATTTGAAATCTATTTAGGTATTACCCATCTAAAGTAGCATATTGTCGAGCTTGTTCCAATTTCAAAATCTTTCGAATGACAAACTATTATTTGAGTTGTGATAATGAACGTTAAGCGAGGCAGTTGCATGTTGAAACGAAGGAACGGGTCGAGAAAAAGTAAAGTGAATGGATTAGTCACATACGAAACGAGTGTTGATATTGATACTCATGTTCGGGTTCAAGTAAGTATTCATATACCCTCTTTTATGTTATGCCCTCTGATTTTAAAAACAAATTTTTATATTTTGAGTCTTTGCAAGAAAACAACTAAGAAGTGGTATGATAGCATGCTGAAAGGTATGCAGTTTTACAATTCAGAACGAAAACGAATGGACCGATTTGATTGAAATTTAGATTTTGGATTGAATATGTATATGTAGATAGGTGATTTTCTGGATTAACACTAAGCTACTTTTTATTCACTACGCTCGTGAAGCCGGAAACTAGTTGAAATAAATAATTATATTATTCACTTTGTCCAAAGTTTGGTTCGTTTCAACACAAGCATGGTAATTGTAATTCAGGCCGTGGTTAGGATCGAGCTTAGATAATTCTGTTCCACTCCAACTGCATGATTATGACAAACGATCTGTCTGCTAGTTGGAAACTTGTCGGCGCCTTGTTAGGAGACCCGGACTTTACGCTGACATATTTACATTATTTGCAAAGGTTTGTTATATTATATGTAAACCAAACTTAATATATGCCAACAAGACATAACATATTATATATTCTAAAACTATGATAATATTATTCTTACCCATGATTATTATTGAAATAATGCGTGTATTGAACATGAAACTACGACAACTACGTGTTTTTATATTTATCCCTCCCGGAAAATGCAGCCATCTTCTATCTATACCTAACAATATGTGCAATCAACATAGTATTCTATATGTATACTTTTAAGATAAGTATTTAAAATAATTTTACTCATAAAGTAGTACTATTATAATGATGAGGAAAAAACTTTAAGCAAAATAAAAACAAATTACTGCGTCCATAATTCAGTTAACCATGATATGTAAAGGAGAAAATATGTACGTTAGCTCATAGATCTTTGGCAAAACAATATAGATATATTATGTATTAATAATGATGAATCGTAATTAGGAATACGGACCTGAATAGCTCTTAAAGAATTATTATATTGATGTATTTTATCATTAACTTAAGAATATTGTAATTTAAAATGAATACAAAACAATACAGTTGCAATAAACTAAAGCAAACAACTGCTGAGAAGGTAAACACTAAGTTTGCGTTGTTCGTATTCCGTGAACTTGTGTGAAACGTAGCGAATATTCAAGTATTTATGTGACACCTTATAAATATTATAATTAGCATAAAACAATATATTTTTTGTTTACTACATCACTAATTTATCATTTAAGGCGCGGTTAGTTTTAAAACGTCAAAATAAAGTAAGGTTTTAATTTATTTTTTCTTACAACCTTTATTTTCTTATATTCAGTATCTATACCAATATGGTTATTGATTTATCTAAACTTTACTACGCCTGACAGGATCTACTGCATCGCTAGCGCCATCTACTAAGGATAAAAATTAAAACGTCATTAAAATATTCCCGGCTTACTGTTTGTTACTGAAACCTCTTCTTCTTCCTATATTTGGCAGCGGCTTGTGTTTATATTTTTATCAAGCAAGTGGTGTGGCCTCCTAGGGACGTGATAAGTAGATAATCTAAATATTATTAGGTACCTACACTAGTTCCGCAACTGTAATTATAATATCAGTAGATACGGCGGCGTCACGTGTGGATTACTGGACAGTAGGTAAACGTGGATACATTTGAAATTTTATGCGCATTTCTGTTATTTTAAAATATGAAATTAAGTATTTAATTTTGATCTTTATATTACAACAAGTAGTTATACTTTTTGCACTTCAAGTATGTCTGTTATAAGATTAACAATATCTAATACTAGATTAGGCATAGGCCGTTCGAACTACGCTAACAAGATGAGCAAATCTCACGGCCCAAATAAAGCTAAGTTGAGTGGTACTTATTGACACAGCATTGGTTCACAGGTGACATTTATTTGACCTTGAGCTTCGGCAATCATGCACAGTAAGGTAAGGGGAACTCGTTCTGTTTGCTAAGCTGCTTACCTTATGTGAAATGTCGTAAAATACAGTTCTTATTGCACCACGCCGTCCACAATCCACAACCGGCTGCCAGCCGCCGACGAAAGTGGCCGCCATTTTGGAATCAATGTTACCAATGTGAAAATGAGACGCCATACGCATAGTACCTACATACTTTAAGATACAAGATAATATGTAATAATCTCAAATGCCCAAATAAAATAGTACTTAAGTACATAATAATACCTGCAGCCTCTCAGTAAAGGACCACCTAGACAGTATTATAAAGTGATACTCTACAATGGCAACATAACCTAATTCTTTTTTCTAATGTCAAAAGTAAATTGTCGAGTTTTCTTTTTTCTTTAGAAATAAGAATTGGGACAAAAGAAGGTATTTGTACGCCTGTAATTGCCGGCGGAACAATACTTGTATTGTGGCACTGAATGGGAAAATTAAAATTCTTCAAGCACAACCATGTGACGAAGGCCATTCATATGAACTAGAACATGTCAAGGCTCCTGGCACAAGCACTTAGAAATACATTATAATGTTGCTACCTCCTCGAACTGACAAAATTCTTAAGTGCATTTTAAAACGTAATTGCAAATGTTTACGGTTGAAAATCTATTAAGTATATGTATACTTTTAAAAAATTTGGGTAGCTTGATGTGCCTTGTAAATAACAAGGTACTTTTTAAGTTGTGCACAAAAAGTGGGGAATTCTAAGAAGTAACTTTGCGTTGATTATAAAGCGATGCAAATTTTGATTGACAGAACCCATTTAGCGGTCACGAACCATGTAAATATAGCGGTAACATGTTTGCTAATCGTGTGCTCCTTGTATGCATCATGCTTTCACAGAAATAATAAATATTTTATTTTAAGATCTTAACGCAAGAGAGACCTGATAAAACAATCAACCACATAAAATTCAATAATTTTTCAAAAATATTCAAACGAGCAGTGACCTCATCGGCGTCCATCTTGAAATCCCGTGTTTAATTGCAAATATAATTAACGCTCACATGAATGCTGTTAAGGCAATGAGCGTAGTGGCCCGACCTTGGGGTCTATTTAATATTACTCGTTAATTGCGCAAACAACGCCCAGAGCAAATATCAGAGCACAGAGACTGTCAAACTTGAAATTATATCTTAAACACGAAGGAATTCATCTATTCTGCCTCAGCTTTTAAATTAATTTAAAGATTAAAATGACAACATTCTTAAAAAAAGTAGCAGAACTTGGCGTGAATTTTTATTTTTATCGATGACAGTTATTGGTTTTAAATATAATAAAAAAGCAAAGCTTCTAAAATATAAAAAATATACTTAAATGGTTGCTATCAATAAATTATTACGACACACAAAATGTTTGTCAAATACATATGATAGCATTATCGTTTCTTAGTTGAGAAATAAATATTATATATGTAGATACTTAACTATGTATACCTAATACAAATATACACACTAGTGACCGATAAATATAGTATAAACTACGTAGTTACGTAGGTACATACGTGTAAAATTGCTGTGTGTTACGTGTAAAAAGGTATAGGCTAGGTATTTTAAACCCAGGCTCTTGAAATCATTGATCAATCTAATAAATAATGCCGGTGACTGTGTTACAAAGAAATTTCAAGTAAGATATTAGTCAACAAGACTCTAGACTGGACTAGACTGATGCCAGCTTCAAGTATTAGTGAAAATGAAACAACAAGGAACATAATATACAAACGCTTAGTAATTACTCAACTCAAAATACACATACTTACATATTACATAAGAAATAACTTTTACTAGAATTAATTAAGAAAAATGCAAAACGAAACGTTTCCATTGAATTAATAATGTTAGCGAATATTATCGACGCGACGTCAGAACTCAAATCCGTTACAAATGAATTTCCACGCTTTGGTAATGAAAGAAAAAACCTTCCACAGCAAATGCTTATCATTTGTACAAATTGAAATACTTGATAATGTTAGTTTTAAGGCAATCTGTTACCTGAAACGATTACTTCGGCGGTTCCAGTTATTTGTGGCCGACATTTTAACAATATTTTATCATTTATGTCATTACAATATTTAACAATTTTACTTTTTTGGTTTTCAAAATGAAATCACTGACTAGAGAGGTAGGTTGTATATGAAATAAGTAACAAACGTTGAAAAGAATGTGTCCTACCTTCGTAATGGTTGTCATCGTCGTCGTGTGCGGCGCTAATCTGTCGGCAGAGGTCCTCGTACTCCGCCCAGTAGGCCGCCAGCGCCGTGGGGTCCGGCGCGCGCGCAGGCAACGGTAGCGCCATGCGCACGTCTGGGGACTCCTGAACAACAAATAACATTCTTTAGTACTTAGAAAAAGATAACTTGTAATATGGATGCTAAGTTTTTGCAACAAGTCTGAATTAGACGGATAGTAAGCCCTGCATGCTATGGTGGACGCCACTAATCTCCACCAAAGTCACCTTAATACAAAGAGAATCCGCTACAAATGTGCGCCTTAATAACAACATGTATGTACTCAAGCGATGTAAAGACAAAACGCTCGGTTCCGCCCCATAAAACATTACAACCTCTTGTTTTTTGGCTCATTGTGCATTATCTACATACATTCTGCTGTTAAATCTTCTGTATCTAACTGTTTACGTCATTCTAAAACTACAGCAAAAGATAAATGTGTCGTGCTAGACGTAAGTGACTATCAAAATGATCTCAAAACACACAATGATTAATTTAAAAGTAATGAGAATAAAAATGGAATGACATTAGACCCGTCACGTGAAAACAATGCAGCTCTGTATGAATTGTAAGCAATCAGTTCATACGCTCAGCTATTTTGCGAAACAAGTTGGTCAATCGTCTCGGGGGACAATGATGTTGCGACATCGCATCGCTTCGTACGCATCTAAATATTATCGTTATGTATAATCGAGCCATATACTGGAGTAAATGATGCTGTTTTAATCAAGATTAGGTACGATAAATGTCCGTTAGAGGTCAGGCATTTTGGCGTGTTTAAAAACACCTAATTAATGTTATAAAACTGAAAACTTTTTATTACTGGTGTCCATGAGCGGCGCCGATTGTTCACCACCGTCTGCTCCAATAAGCCATAAAAAACGAACTTCACTAACCACACGCATTTGTGACATAGCTACGCTACTCTACATAACTAACTACGTAAGTGACGCTAAAAAATCAACATTAAAATTATTTGTTTGCAGACAACAATAAATTCCTCATTGAAATTAACATTGGAAATTCCAAGAGTTGATCGACAAAATAAATGTCAAACAAATCAAATCGAGCACGTTATTAACACCGACAGGCGGCTGCTGCAATATCAGTGTCTCGAGCGATAACATTGCGACTTGTTCCTTTTGTAGAGGAACACGTGAGTGTCGCTACACGGAGGCTTGATAATGGACGGAGCAGGTACTTTGTTGGACGATGATCACTTTAATGCAGAGGAAATGAATTATGGACTGTAGAACTTACACAGGAATCTCTAGATCTGTATGTATGTATACAGGTTTAGCAGAATTATAGTGCATTAGGTATTCATAAATTTTATTCGTCGGAGTGTAAAAGTGAAGGCTACGGCTCTCTCTTAAAATATAAGTAAAAGGTCTAAATGCGTAAAATAAACATTATAACTTATTCAAAATCTCTGGAAGCACAGCTGAACCTAACCGAGAGCTTCTTGTATTAACTACGACAATAAGTAAAATAAATAAATGGCTGTCTGTCTGTGGACAGAGCAGGCAACAGGCAGTCCTTAACTAGCTAGGTAAATAATCTTTTGAATATTAAATTTGTAGCTTGCTCCAACCTCGTGCGATTATGATATGCGAGAACCAATAAACCTTTACTAATAAAATTAAGGTTTATAGATTCTTATATGTAGGATCCTATAGCATTCAGAGACATTCGATTGTTAGAAAATCCGATAAAAGTAGCTAATTCGTCTTTAATATCATTATGCAAAAAGTAAAAAAGTTTAAACACTTGAACCTTTCGCCCTGAAAACCATAAGTAACATGACATTTAAACAAAAACAGTGCTAAACTTCTTACCAACAAACACCAAACTAAACCACTAAGGATGAAGTATCCACGACATACCCACGTGGCCTTAAAAACACATGCATTTACTAATTTAATTTGACTATTTTGTGGTAATTTCAAACCACCATAGCAATTGTCGGAACTGCAACCTTCAAACTCAGTTGGTTCCGTTCCCTTATCTATGCCCATCCGAATGTAAGTCTGCAGAGTATAATGTACTCTACTAAATATCCTCGAAGTTTGTAATCATGTGACGTCTGCCATTAGCAAATATATGCGCGATAACGCAAGGTCGCCCTATGTATGTACCTACTCATTGGTATTTGAATATATTTGTGAACTGATTACTTAATCAAAAGCCATCGTTTAACTTATTTTATTTGCTTAATTTTTTATCTGTAAGTGGCGGGTTTTGATTTGAATTCCTGATTAAGTAGTATGAAACAATATGAATGTGTATATTAGCGGTAGGCCGGAATACTCAACTGTATTTCATACTGAAGGAAAGTTTCCTTAACCTACTCCTTCAACATGTTTTGAACATTTGGTTCTTTTCATTCATTAATGTAAGTAATCTTTTCCAAAAATAACATTGTATTATGCTACATTGATGTTATCTAACAGCTGTACACATAATGGCCATTATATCTAAGTATACAATTTATTATATAATTCAAGTTAATCATGAATTAGTCACCTGCTTGTAATGTCCGCCATTCACTAAGCTGACTGAACGAATTTGTTATTCTCGGTCAAACTTAATATCGCGTTAAATGGCTTTTAGTAACTATTTCTTATAATAAAAAAATAAATTCGTCACCATAGTGAGAGGCCTGTGTGTCTTAAATGCTGAACATGAATACATTAAGCATAGTAAAATACAGAGCCGTATTTCTATTTCGTTATAAATGGTTAATTTTCATACAAAAATGGAAACACTCAATTCCAAATTCAAATCTTTCCTAAAATTCATCATCACAGCAGACTACTGCAACAGCCCAACAACGACAACCACGCCACCTGTCTCGGTCTAAACCAATTAATTCAAACTCAATTAATATTTTTTCCTCTCCATAACAATTATGGGGTTACGTAATTGAGACCGTAATTTGGTTTATTTCTCAACCAATTAAGGCTCCCAAATTAGTTGAGTGTCGGTATTAAGTGGTCCTTACGCAAGTACAAAGCCTCGAGATAGATCATACAAGTTTATTATGAACTACGTCCTGTAGTCCTTGATCTATGCTGTAAGACCACCTGTGTGGGCACAGGTGGATTTCTAGGATGTATAAAGATACATTTTCCTATAAATAATACCATTTGTTCCCCTAGGGGAGACACAGATGTGCGTATTGAATACGAATGTGTGTCTACTAGTTATACTATAAGTTTATGGACAACGCAACAAGCCTAATGCAATCCACAAGCTTGATTCCTCACAAATTCCCAGATATTATAAGTAAGTTACTGTTTTAACTTCAAACACATTTTTTTCTCTATCCAAGCCCATCCACTAGACTTGGTAACAGATTTTTATCTGTGCTAACTCAGTAACTCCGCTTTCTGTTATAACAAAGTTCATTCATTTAATTCACGTCACGTTTGTCCCAACCGAGAGCTGCCTACTAAAGCTTGTGTCTCTCATTATGAATGTTTCCTCCACAACCCACATACGCAGCAACAAAGACAGAAGCCATTGGCATCCTGCGCCGTTTCCGGAGCACCCACCGCGGACATTTATACTTATTATTGTCACAGAGACGGATTTAGAACATCAAGATAAATATTAGTTACACTAATTAGCTATACCTACTTGTATTAATATAAGTTTCTACTACTACATATAGTAGATACAAGGATAATGACTGAATGACTGATACTGAATAATGCCAGTCTGGTTTGGTTATAATACAATTAATAAATTAATTAATAATGAGAGGAAAATATTACATTGCTATTAATGTACCTAAATATGTGCACTTGACAGCTATGTAAGTTATAGGACTAATATCTACAGCTTTAGTTTCGAGTCATTGTGATGACAATAATAAAATTAATAACAAAGGAAATGGAAAATAAACACGGATTGAAAACTAACAATGATACACATCCTCCGATAAAGATACTGTATTTTACCATTATAACAAAATTAATGAAAAGGTAGAAGAAAACATAAAGGAAATCCTCTCATCCCGTTTCCTATCAATAACAAAATACCAAGTCATTTATGTTCGTAGTAACAAGGGCAAAGGAAATGATGATTGTCATCACATAATGTCAGACATAAGCTAGTGACCGGACGTACTTAGCGGAGAATAATTAGTTGAAGCTAACATTTGTTAGATTTATTCGACATTAAAAAGAATATTATTGCTGATGAAATTGCTGATAACAGTTGTCTCATGTTTCGGATTAATTAATACTAATTCATATAAAGAATCGTCGGAAAACCAAACTTACGTTGTGTTTCGCCGTGTGAGTGAGGTTGCCGGAGGCCCAAGCTCTTTCCTCCCCTCCATCCTCAATCCTTAAATCCCTCTAATAACCCGCAATAGGTGGGCAACGCACTTATAATAACTCCTTTGGAATTACGACTATTTATAGGCGGCGCTGATTGCTTACCATCAGGTAATACCTACGTCTATCACATGATTGTTGTCGTAGTGTTTCAAATAATAAATAAGCAGATGATACAGTAAAAAACAGAGATCGTATAAACAGATTTGTGCACGAGAAATGGGACGGCGGTCATTAAGTAACGCATTTAAATAAAATCAACACTCACATAAATATTTAACTAAGACAAAGATAGGCATCTCAAGTATGCCGTTCGGTTTCCGGAATATGCAAAAATATACAAACTAAGTATAATAAGTCACTCTGACAGCTGACAGATGAATGAATATAAAATGTCAAATGATTTGCATGTCATTAATATGCACGGGCAGTGGGCCAGTTAGTGATAAATACAACATTCATTATGACAAAAATGTCTAAAGTGAATGACTGAGATGACTTGTGATTGCGTGCAGCAACTCAGCAATTTCGGGCAGACGGATTACCTTGCATGGGCAACCGTAACAAGGGAAGACGGTACAAGTGCGTTGCCGACATTAATTGGGTTTGAGAGATTATTTTGAAGAATCACCGGTCGAGCCGACGCATTCTGTCATGGCTGTCCCAAACTAACAATAACAACAAGGCTTTATTTAAAATCAAATATAGGTCTACCATTAAAACCTTTACCTGCCGACTAG